TAAGGCAATGGGACACATTATAACATTTTTATTATATTATATTCTATTGTCATATTTCATGAAAAATAAATCTAAATTTGATGAAATAACCTATTTTCAATAACTAATTGCATTTATTGATTCTTTATAATTTATTTTTTTGTCCACAATGATTTATATAATTTTTAACCAAATGCATTCAACCACAATAATTACCTATCATATGCAAAGTACATGAAAGTAATCAAAGAATTTCTCTTTGTTTATTAATAGCCAAACATCTATAAAATGACAGACCAGCGTTACTCAACCTATATGTCCCTTTAAATAGGTTGCGAAATGACAGCTGTCATCTTATGTCAAAGCAAGGAAATAATGAAATATTTTCTGGACACTTCAACCAAACTGTAACAAATATCATCTGCTGACTGTAACAATCTGTCAAATTCGTCAAAATATTTCATATTTCATGAAAAATAAATCTAAATTTGATGAAATAACCTATTTTCAATGACTAATTTCATTTATTGATTCTTTATATTTGTTTTTTCTCCACAATGATTTATATAATTTTTAACCAAATGCATCCAACTACAGTAATTACCTATCATAAAATAAATCTAAATTTGATGAAATAACCTATTTTTAATAACTAATTGCAATTATTCATTATTTATTTTTTTTTGTCCACAATTATATAATTTTTAACAAAATGACAGCTGTCACCTTATGTCAAAACGAGTTTATGATAAATTATTCTCTGGAGACTTCAACCAACCTGTCAAATTCGTCACAAAAAACTATCAGGATTTCAAATTTCTAAAAAAGTATTAAAAAATATAACTTATTACATACATACAAAAGGTAATAAAAGTAGATTTACTTTCAAATTTAATTTATATACTTATGAAAAATACTGTCAATTTAATTGATAGTTAACGATAATTTTAATCGAAAGTACATTTCAAATAAAAAACATATATGAAAACTATTAGAAAATCGTTAGTTAAATAAATCTTAATCAGAATATAGAAAACGATACAATTCGTTGCGACAATTTAGTGCAGCATGCTACTTTTATCTGCGTTACGCAATCGAATCTCGTACTTCAGGTAGGTCTTGATTTATGCGGCGCCATAGAAAGAGGTCCTCCTTCAGTCCACAGCCTTTTAAATAGTTACGCACTCAATATATAAATATATACAGTTTATTTTTATTATTTATTAATTTTTTACTTCCTTCACTTTCCATGAGCGTGCTTTCATTTTTAAATAATATTGTTCGCTCTGCACTTGCAAATGTATAATAATATTGCATTCTAAAACTAAATGTATTTACATTTGAAATAAGCATACGTTCGTTCATTTCAATGTTACAAATCTGAATAATTGTTATTTCAATCTGTAATATGGAAATATTATTATTATTACTATATACGTGACCTAACTGAACTAAAGAGTGGCCAGGTCAAGGATTGCACCATATTCTTTGATCTCGGATGGACAAACACAGTATCTCGTGTGTGTTTCGATCTACATTTGCAGTTCTCAGCCGGAAACGGAATGCATCAGTTATTTATAAACAACAATTATTCTTGTTTTAGTTTTTCTTTCTATATTGTGATTTTATAGCTAAAATTGAAATAATAATTATAATATTTTCTCATTTATTTATTCTTAGTACTCATTTCAATTTACTTCTTTAGATTCCCATTGTGCTTTGTTACACATTAGATAGAATTTCCATTTTAATAAATGTATATTTTTTTAATGATTCTTTTTCAATTTATATTTCCTGTCCAATTTTTCTTATACTTTTGATAAATATAGAAGAGATAATTAAATAATTTTATTTATTTAAACATAACTAATTAAATGCTTTTATATACTAACAAATAGTACAAAATATATCATTATTTTAATTCATTTAATTTAATCCATTGCAGCCGAAGATTCTACTTTTATTGATACACACTAATGGCAATGGACAACTGTGCTTCTGGTACAACAAAATACAATTTTAGGAAACTAAATTCAATTACGTTGACAATAACATGTATACAGTCATCAGTAATATCTAAACTTTTGATACCATATCACAAACTTTAATTTCAACAACTGAGATTAAATTATTATTTCCGCAGTAGTTGCACTGATAACATCATACGCCTAAATGTGATACCAAAATAATGCAAGTATATAATAATATTAGATAATTTGGTGCTGGTTTGTGTTTAGGAAAATATATGTATAAACTAATTCAAGATTTCTTCAAAGTTAGGATATTTTGTCTCCACGCTTCTATTTATATAACTAAAATGCGGAACAATAAAAACAACCGAAAACGGATAAGTTTGTTCTATTATCAATTTAATTAATTCATTTAATTTTGATAACTTTATTAATATTTAAATTATAATAATTGAATACGTATTGAAATATTGACATTAATCTTATCACCAATTACATTAATTGATATTTATCAAAATTAATTATTATTAAAAAATGTTAATTTCAGACCCTTCTATGAGAAATAAAAGTTCTCATTTTTTTTATTTATTTACCCAAAAGCTGTAATTTTTTTGCTATATATGGTTGAAATGAGTAAAATATGTTTATATTTTTTTTTAATTAGAAACAAAATTAAAATGAAGGTAATTTGCTGTTGACAGTTATTAATTAGTTAATTATATTTATGTTATAAAATATTAATTTGTTAGTTGAACTCCATGTTAATAGAGTATCGATTTATTCTACTTATTATATGGAAATAACAATAAATAATGAACTAGCTTAAAAGCAAACATGATGGCATTTAGGAAGAAAATGAACAAATTTCAAAGAATTACTTGTCTTGGTATCACCTTGAGCACAACGCCCACCTCATCCATGGAAACCTTGTTGAACTTACCGCTACTACGTGCAGAGACGTGAGGAGAAGTAGTAAACGAGGCCTACAGGCTGAGAATAAACTGCTAAAAGAGATACAAGAAAAGTCACATAATTTGAAAGGCTCGTATAGTTTCTGTCAGTACTAGCTCCTGAATTAAAGTTAACAAACGAAGCTATTCATAACAATTTTCTGACCATAAGACGCACCAATTTTTACAAAATAATATTGTAAAACTATTCCAAATTAATAATAAAAATATTGAAAAGATCAAGATTTTAGTTAAATTTAAGGTATATTTTCAATTTAAATAAAAAAATATGCAACTTTTATTTTTTTTTTGTAAATGTTCATTTGTATCAAAAATAGATAAACTAGAGTTGTGTTGAAGCCAATTTTTTGAAGTGCATAACACCTTGGCACCATTCCAATATATGAAGACTTGACATTTTTTTTTTTAAATATATTAAAAATAGATTTTTTTACAAAACCCTGTTGTAATTTACCCTCATTTTGTGACCACAACAGAAAAAAAAATAATAATCTGGTATGATATATTACCATAGACATGGGTAAATCATAGGATAATTAGATAATATTGTGGGTAGTATTTTAGGAAGCTAAATCTTTTGTACAATTCACAGATTGCTATAAAGATTATACTTATGAGATTAGAGCTTAGTATGTGAAAAAATAAATACTATAGTTTCAGGATATTTTTTTTCCTTTTAGTCTTATACAAATTTGGTTTTCTTTTTAATTAATTAAATTATAAAGTAGATTAGAAATAAATTTTAAATGAATTAAAAAAAAAATAACTATGTCAGATGATTTAAAATTTGATTCCGCAATCGCCAATTCTTCTCGGTCATCTCTCCTCTCGATCGAAGATCAAGTTCGGGTATTTTCGCACTTCGCCAATTTTTCACAACTTTCGATTTACTTGTTAGTTTTGATGGATTTGTCGATCGACTATGTTAGTAAGATCATGGTGGATCACTTCTTATTCACCTACTGGATCAGTACGTGCGGTTTGTTGTTTATTTCTTCTTCTTTTTCTCTCCTCTTACAAGATATGCGATACGACGAAATGCGATAACCTGCTTGATGATTATGCGATTTTCATTCGTGCCTGAAATGTAATATTATTATCAACAATAAACAATTTCATGTTAACGGACACCCAGTTTCCGTGGAAAAGTCGGTATCCTCCCAATAAGTGGGCATGTGTTAAGCATGTCGCAAATATTATGTGGGATTCGAGTCAAGAAAAAAAAACATGAGGTAGAGAAAGACAGAGAGCGAGAAAAAAAAAACGCAAGGAAACCAGTTGGTAAGAAACTCAACCTGTATCTGCGCGCTCTCGCATGGACACATGTATACCTACAGAAACACACTTAAATGCATCAGCAAAGTGAAGATCCGAAACAGTTTGTCGGATGATGAAGTCCGAGGAACTCCATAGTTAAATTTAATTGTTAAGCTTTTTGTTGTCCAAAGCCCCTAATTGATGCTGTTCGGATGCTTCAGGATGTAATAATCCTTTAATGAACAAATCGGTTTACAGATTTCGGCTGGGTAATTCGCAAAATAACGAAGCGGAATGGCTTTTAAAAAGTTTCGGTTATGTAAACACTCGACGAGTGGTGAAAACTAGGTGCATGTTCGCTGCGTACATGATATACCGAATGTTTGTTCCTAAATCACTGCATGGAAAGCAAGTGACTAGATAGAAAAAAAAAATAGTAGCCGACTCCTACTACTCTGCCTGTTAAGAAATTGGTATAGTCACGTGCAGATGTTCATCCTTGTCCAATAGAGAGTGTTGGAGAGAGAACTACGATCGGACGAGAGCCAATAGCGAGTCGGCAGACTTAAGTCAGGCTACGAACACAAGCCTCCTATCAGATTCAGATGCCATTCAAGCAATGAACCTTAGCGCGGCGCGCACACAGTCACAAGATATCGGCGTGTTTGTTTCTCTCCAACAACCTTAACCCAAGGTCGTTCGCGGTAACAGTTTCTCTTCTTCAGTTTTTCGCATTTGCAATGCTTTTTGTGCCATCGCCGGATTTCCGATCGGCCCTTTGATCCTGTGCCATCGCAGCGAGTCCAGGATGCGCGCCAACTGTGATTTCCACCAGATCCCTAACAGATTTCTTTCGTGATGGAAAGTTATGGCCATCCCCGCACGTCCTCCATTCTTAGGAAATCGCACTTGGTATGTATGCGTGTTTAACTATATACTCAGATTCTGGGCGCGCAACATCTGCAAATCCAGAAAGCAAAGCACATCTGGACGCCATTCAGCGAATTTTTTTCCGGTTGTTTTCTCTCACCCACGGATCTTCGAAGAACAACAATAACAAAGCTCCCATCCGTTTCCAAAACCTCAATCCTCCTCCGTAAATCATACTCGCTTCCCTCTATATAAAAAAAAGAAGAGGAGGAACAAGATGAATGTACACAAAAAACAACAACATTATGCACAGACGAATATGGGGCAATGTGGGTGTTAAGTGTTTAAGTATTTAGCTTAAACAAACTCCGTCTTCTGTGTCCATTTAAAGTGCCATAAAACGCGAAGATTGTGTGAAATTAACTCATTCATTAATGTCAGCCATAAATCAGTTTCGGGTAATGAAACTTTATTCCATTAGAACTCTCCCTGCGAACATTTTCGGGGATGCAACGTAGGCAACTACTCATCCATCCGGTCTTCATACATGAAGATAAAGCGCAAATAAAACGGTGATTCCAATTAGTCGAAGCCCTTAATTGCATCAAGCTTAAATATAAACCATAATGTGTTAAGAACCTAATGTTTGGGGTTTTGGATTTACGGGTTGTTTTGGAGGCTGGACAATAACCCGAAGAAGAACAAGAAGGTCTTATTGTTGTCGCGGCCGACCTTCAGGTCCGTCCGCCCTTTTTCTCATTTATTTGTAGTAGACTAAATGCTGGAGGGAAGCGGTGGAGAGGGGAACAAAGGCAAACTGGTTTTCTTCTCTTTAATATTACGACCGGGTCGCCCCGGGGACCTTTGGGTTTTTAGGCATATTAAAATATGTGGAGAGAAGATTATTATTCCCTATGCTCCTCACGTTCATCTTCCATCCTCTTCTCTTTCCATCAACAATACTATTTTATATCAACTAACGTCTGTTTGATGCGATTCGATGATGTAATTCCTCTTTGTGGAATGAACTAAGCTTACGCTCTAAAATGAAATTTTTGGGGCCATTTAAGAGCTGCTATTTTTAAAGAACTACTGTATATTTGCGGGTAACCATTTTTTTTTTTGTCTTTCTATTACTTTTATTTTTACCTGAGGGTGACGAATTGTGGAGGTGTCAGTTTCTGAATATCGTTTTCACGCTGCAAACAATCGAAGCACAAAAACGAAAAAGAAAACTGGATTCGGAATACATTTGGTTTTCATTGTTCTATAAGTTTAGAAAGTGTCACAGGCGTTGCCAGTGCACTGTCTTCGACGGAAGACTGATTTATTTACAAATATATTACAGTTTTACGCTTTAAATTTCAAGGATGTTTTACTGCAACTATAAAAAAGATGGTTGGCTCTCCGGCAACTACCTACTTTTTATTACGTTGGGTCAAGATCTTTTACTGCTGTTTACGTTCTCCAAATACATTTGAATGCCTTTTTTCTTTTGATTGAAACTAAATCTTGCACGACCATCAATCTTAATCCCATAATATTTATTTGTCCACATATATTTTAGTTTTTAGTTTAGAATAATTCGGTTTTGTATAGTCACGTCAGTTTACTAACGACAATTACGCGTTTGCAAATTGTAAATGTCAAAGGTTTCAAACTTTGCATATTATGTAATTCACTATATGCTAATTACATTTATCATTTTCTTTTTAAATGAGACAAGTACACATAACCATCATTTAACACGCTACTTTTACAACATTATTTCGCTCTAACACGATTATTCAAAACAATATAACACGATTATCGAAATTATTATTTAAATGATGATACAAGTACCTTTATAACACAGTTTCACATGATGCCACCCAAACTTTTTACAACACGGTACATGTTCAAATAACACGGTATTGTGAAGACGTAATTATATTATAATGTCAAAAGTTGAAAAAATACAAAATTATGGTGTGTGATCTAAGATGATTTTCTAAGAAATATACGAGACAAATCATATCTGCAATGAGTTTTCGTTTACGTAACCCGTAAATTATACATTGATTCTCTTAGTTCCACATATCCCGGATTCGCGCAACAGATTTTCTAAGAACTTAATAATATTAATTCAAATATAAGGCAATTATGTAAATAAATGATTATGTAATGGATTTTGCGAATAGCAACAAATACAAATTAAGGGTCTTAATTAACGTATGCAACTCGTTTCTAATCAACGTACATATCGTAAAACTTCATTACATTAATCTCTGCTTGTGACATCTCGTTTCACCGAATAATAATGGTCTTATTAAAAAGGCTATTCGAATATATTGATCGCATTTGACAACCTTTTTTTTCAAGCTTCAAAGAGTGTAAGAAACAATGCTTGTAAGTACAAAGCAATTGTATTTATTGAAGCATTAAATAGATATTGGCTGCATCAATTCAAGCAATTATACCGGATATTTTTAGCACGTCGTTGAAAATAAATAAACTAGTTCTCTCCGTCACATTTAAATGAAGGACAAATAAATAATAATAAATGTGATTTTCTCTTTATTGTCTGGATGGAACACGTGTTTGTCACGAAATGTTTATATAAACTTTCAGAAAACTACGTAAACAAATATTTGCTTCTTAAATATGATACATTGCTATCTTTATTGCCGTGTAATGTAACTCATATTTGTTATTATGCTCTTATCTGTGCTAAATTGGAACACTTCAACTATATTATATCAGTATAACAATTAACAAAAGTTTTCTTTGTTTCTTAACATTAATGTAAATGATTTTGTTTTTTGAATTTAATTAAATAACAAGTATAAAAATAAATCAATAAACCTGAAATTGATGATTTTGTGTAGCAAAAATTGAACGTTTTTTCTAAAAAAATATAAAATTGAACTATGGTAATAAAATTTTGTAAATCAAATTGTTAAATATTATATCAATTAGTCATAAATCAACATTAATCATATTGTATAGTTAAGAATTGCAGATATTAAATTTTTGTAATCAACATGATTCATTAACGTTTATTATTTACTTTGTAATTTTAAAACCATGTGAATATTGTCATTGCTTCTTCGGTTAAAACATTCAGATTTGTGTATAGTTTAGCTTTCAGACGTATTTACAGTTTAGCTGTCAAGTTGTTAAGTAGGTGACACATTGTGGTTAATTTCCTTTGAGAAAGTTTGAAAAAAACTTTATTTTTTTCAGGAACTATTTACAAATACTGTCACAAAGCTTGTACCTATCAATCTTTGAAGAATAGAACAATTTTAGTACAAAAACTCAAGAATTTCTTTCACTATGAAAGTTTTACAAAGTTTTTCCAAAAAAAAAAGACTCATTCTTAATACAAACGAGATGTCCTTGTGGGAGTTAATAACTTTTATATTGCATTGTTTATATTATTGCAGAGTTTATCTTATTCCGCATAAAAATCGCATTATTAATGAGTTTCTGGAATTATTTCATCGATAACTTCATTAAAACATTTTTCTTCTTTCATGGCTTCTGTTAATTATCATTTAATAAAACAAGCAATATTTTGTTTTTATTCATCTCTTAACGTAATCTTATATAAACATTTAATTATTGTGAATACAAACACGGAAAAATCTAAATAATTATACAAGAAACTGCAACTTTCTTTATCCAAATTTTAATTTAAAACGCGTATGTTTTCTGTAATTACTTGTCTTGTAAATCATTTTGCAATAAATTTAAATGTAAAAAAAAAATGTAAATTTGCTAAGTTTGTGAAAACAATGAAAATTTTTAATTAACAACATTAATCAGAATTTCTTCATTAAATTTTTTTTATTATTTTTTTTTAAATATATTCTCTCATTACATAACTATAAACTAATGAAGTTGTATAATTGATATTTAAGTTGAAGACTTAATATTTGTTAAAAGATTCAATTACTATAATATGGATATTTTAATGCACATCACATATTCACAGTGATGAAGATATACATATATTTTGTATGTAACTTTTATTTGTTCGTATTTTATTTATATGTTTGCATTTAGAAATAATTTCTTGCAGTCTATTTTCAATGTTGCACTTATATAATATTAGCAGATCCATATGTAAACCAAGACCTAGAAAATACATTTTTTTTTCCAATAAACGAAATAATTAAAAACAATGATAAAATAGGACAGAATAGAAAGAAATAATACAAAATATACAACAAACTGATATAATTTTAAGTTCTAAAATTGTTCGATTATGTGTGCTGGGAATATTGAGGTCTTCTTATCAATAAAAACAACTTTATCTATGAGCATCAACAAGTAAATAATCAATGCACAGATAATATTAGAAACATGTAGGTAAGATGAAATGCATGCTTTTCTTAAAAAAAAAAACTAATTTTGAAAAAGAAAACTAGTCATCTCTTGTTGCACTTAACTTAGTTGAGTCTCATTATTTAATTTATAAAAAGTATGATTTATATAAGCGTTTTATAATCGCGTAATGACAGCTGTAATCTTGTGTCAAACCGAAAAATTGGTGAAGTACTTTTAGCAAATAGGACGTTGTATAACTACAAACAAATATGTTGAATCGCGAGGTTAAAAGGTTGTGAAATGCTGATGTATTTGTTTTATTAGTAATATATATATTACTTTTTCATTTATAATATATAAATTTGTCAATAAAAATTGAAAAATTACCACCAGTCATGTCGTTGCTTAACTTTTGTAGAATAGTAAATTTTACTTGAAATTGTAACTGGAAATTGTAATTATTAATTGTTAATGCACAGATGGTGTTATGCAATTCATCAAGTGCTTACGTTAACTGAGATAACCATATCAACAAGTTCTCGAATAGGAGGTTTTTCATTACTGCTGTCCCCTCGTCATTTTTAACTTTCTTAAAGAATCAAGCATAAATTATTCTATAATATATATAATGTTCTTTGGGTATTTTCTGATATTAACTAATTTTTATTATTTATTTAGGACTAAAATCTAATTGCTTCTTCAAATTTTGAACAATTCATTGTATGGACTTAACATACAGAAACTAATAATTGTTTAAAATTACAAATGATAAAGGCAAGAGTATTGTTGTTTTTGATTCTTCTGTTGATGCAGGTGTTTGGTATACTTAATGTTTGTCGTTTCCTGATTTACCGTTATGCTTCGTACATACTCAACGAGCTTGTGATCGTATCGCTACTATCACAACAATAAACCGCGTTGGCAAACAGCCTTGACTAATTGGCTCTGATTGGGACCGAAGTTAAATAAGAAATACTCAGAACACTCCTAACAATACTAGATACAATTTGGAGCCGGACGACTAAGAAATTGGTAGTCAAGGCAGAATGACAAACGTGCTATGCATTATTGGACAATTTATGTACGTATCTATGGAATGCAATATGTAACAGCCGTTTGGAATAATTCGCGTGACGTACATGCATTAAAATATCAATACATTTTCATACAATGCTATTTTCTAATATTTGCAATTTCGCAAGGATTATACAATTAAACTGTGACTCATCTTCTCTTTGCCATACTCCTCCAGCAATTCTTTAGCGGAAGCGTTTTGTACATTGCTGTTGCTTATTTAATTATTTTATTTTTCACTTTGTCCTTGTTTATATGTTGTTGATGCGAATGTATTTTAATCCTTCTCTTCTGTTGCAGATCGTATGATAACATCTGTAATGGACAAGGTCTTCATCGCCTTTTGCGCCTGCTTCACGTTGGGCGCGTCTACCGGATCGCATCCAAAGAGCGACTTCAGGCACATCTCTTATCAAGGTGAGACCATCGCGAGGAACTGGAGTACGCGTGCAAATAACAAGTGGGACGCGCGTGGAAAGTATTAGAGTCATCGTGCCACCGATTATGTGGGAAAATTGGATGAGATGGATGGATGCAACGGTGCTTCCCTCGACAACATTCATCAGATGATGATGAACTTATCGCATCCACCCGAACAAATATTAGCTCAATTCTTCTGTAAACAGACACGAGGATACCACGACTCCTCGGCGACGATAAAAACCGCGATGGCTATAGAATGCAGGTTGACGATACACTAACGACTCGCATTTGTCGAAATCCATTAAAACACTTCCAATGAATATCGCCTATAGACCGGTTAATTGCTATACCAGAAGTCGCGCGACTTCTCATTGTCACCCCTATTTGATAAGTGGAAGTAGTAAAGACTGGTGCCAGCTTTTAATACACTTCTGGATCTTTTAGACTTAAAGCTCAAACATTAGATTAATTTATTTAAAAAAAAACAAATTAACACGTCAGTTTTCAACTACAAGATTACTCAAACTTGATAAATTGTCATTGGACACCAACTAAAAGATTTCTATTAGGTCTAAATTGATGTATTAACTGATGTAATTGTCCAGTACATTTATACTAACGTACATAACTTACGAAATTTTGTATATGTAAGTTGCACGTTAACTCGCATTTGTCGAAATCCATTAAGTCACTTGAGATTTATCCGATGCATTTTGTGCGGTTAATTTATACACCAAAAGTCGCACGGCTTCTCATATCATCTCTTCTCATTGTCGGCTTTGTTTGATAAGCGGAAGTCAGAAAATTGAGCGGCAGTTTCCAATGCTACTCTTGAATTTTTAGAGCTATAACTCAAACATCTGATTAGATAACGTCTAAGAACGTTTAGCTCATATTTTTTTCTTTATTTCCTTTGCAGATCTCCAGCTTTCAGTCGACGCGTTTGCCCAAGATGGCATTACCACTTACTCGCAGTTGTTATTCGACGTCGCTCGCAATCAAGTTCTAGTCGGTGCAAGGTAACGATTATTTCTCATTTTCTCCTTCTCTTTAGATATAGGTCATAAATACTGCCTTCATGTCAATGACCAAAGATATTTTGCTATATATTTTGTATTTAGATAAATCATGTTCTATATACTCTATTTATCTACTTCAAACATGTCAAATGATCAACAAACTTTGCACATTCTAGTGCATATTTACAGATGAAACCATTCTTGCATATATTAAACCAAGTACATTATTCATGCAATTAGCACTACTTATTTAATTTTTATTTTGATGAATTTTCATTTTACTTTATTTTGAAAATAATTATTTACAAAAATTTAGGTTTGACCTCAAATCTTTAAATTTGACAAAAAAACATTTATTATAATTGATTAATTTTAATTCTTAAATATGCATAAAATGCAATAAATTTTGTAAATTTTTGAATATTTATAAAATATTTTTGTTTTAATATTTCATAATATTTTATCAATGTTATTCAATTGTCCAACCAAAAAATAAACCAGTATCAGAAAATTTCCGTTAAGAAATCATTACTGTGTAAATATTATTAGAGTACAATCTGTATTTTCACACAATATTTGATAATGTTATCATAAACAACATATTCAATGTCAAATCTATTCAATTCATCTTAACCAAATGTAAAATACTGCAATTGAAGTTAAACTAAACAGTAAATGACATATCATTCTAGTTTATCCAATTACAGTTTTATCGTTACTTTTTGTAATTATTTCTGAAAAAAAAAAATTAATTCCCAAATTAATAAATCTGAAAATAATAAATGTTTGAAATTGATAAAAAATACAGCATAATTTGTAATGAATACACTTATAAGTGGAGTTAAAAGAACAATAAAATTGGTCATTGACTTTAAAGTAAACTGGGAGTTTTATGAGTAGTAGAAGTTTTCGGTAAACATTGCGGTCCGGTGCTTGAAATCACTCAGTATATATTTTTATGAAGTACATTTTTAGATGTTGACATTTACGACCTAAAATCACGTATTAAAACTACCTCCAACGTTGGCAACGAATCACGTATAAATACGTGTCTTCATTTTCCGTTCGAATGCAGACACGTATTGGTATTAGCTAGTGAACTGGGACTTCACATTTGATTTTTGTTTGCTTTGCTACTTACTCTATTTAGAGTAGACATGTTAGTGCGTCCTTTTAATAACAACATAAGTGGACTGAATTCGTAGCGGTAAGAACGAGGGACTCAATTGGTAATTCATAATCACTATGAAGATCCGCTTTGAAAGCTCCTAAGTGCTCGAACTACCATTAAGGACTTGATTACTCGATGGGCTTTATACTGAATATCTTTTAAAACTAGTCAAATTACTAGTTCATAAACTAATATAATCGCAACCTATGATAACAACAACAATACTTATGAAGCTAAAATACAAAAGGACACAGTTCTGCTTATCAGTTGTCCTCTTTCGGTTTTATTATCTTTAAATGCGAAGGTCACTCACCTCTTAGCTTATAAAGCCGTTTAACTGAAGGAAATATTTCAAATATCTATATAAGCTCTCGTTAACCGTTAATACGAAGATGGAAGTAACTGACCTAAAAGATTAAGTAACTTTAATATACTTATAATACATTTCCAAACAAACGAGAAAAATCAATCTTAAATAATATTTATATAGTGTATATTCTTTAAAAAAATCGAGGAATTGCAAATACCACCATCACAAGCTATGGATGTTAAACAAATGTACAGATCCTTATTTAAAACTATGTAATCGTGAACTCTATTTACCAAATATAGGCTTGTATTGTAACAACCTCAATTTTCTATAAAGGTTGCTTTACCTGCTCCAATTGTGCAATTAATTCAAAGCTAACATTTAAAACATTCTAATGTAGTCTTAAAATTTTTATCTCAATTCCACTCCACTTGATTAGGTTTAACATATTTTATTTGTAGATTGAATTTTAGTAAGCATCTTCAATATAGGTATCGTAGGTTACATGTTTTTAGTTACAAACTCAAACAGAATCTAATCCCTAAAACTTATCCTAATATCTTTTACTACAATTTTCTTTTACAAAAAATTTTGAAATATACTTAGTGTGCAGTAAGAGTCAGAAAAGTAGTTCTAAGACGTGATATTGGTAGAAAAGGTATAATTTTATAATTGATGATCAATTAATAAGTCATAATAGGTGATTTTGTAGTAGAAATATATATAAGTTGGAAATTGTTAGTTCCGTTACTTTATTAAGTAAAGGAAACAAGTGATTTAAGTCGACGATAAGTATCCGGATCGGAATGCGTTAACAAAAGTAATATCTATATAGCTAATTAGTACTTTCTCGTTCGGTTGTTCGCTTTCTAGAGATGCATTGTTTCGATTGTCTCTGCCACATTTACATTTGTTGGAGAATGCGACGTGGCCGTCGACGGAGAAGAAGACGGCGATGTGCCTGAACAAAGGACAGTCCGAGGATAACTGCCACAACTACATAAAGGTCCTGCTCACGAACGGCAAAAGGATCTTGGCCTGCGGCACCGAATCCTTTTCGCCGTCGTGCACTTGGCGAGAGGTAATTAACCATAACCATAACTGAATCCTTGTCCTCTTTGCTCGAAATGCACCGGTGTATATATTTATTACCTTTATTGGAATTGCAACTTGTTGCTTTTTTTTTAAATCATTTGATTTTATTTTTATTTAAACGTAATTAGTGCACCTGAAAGGACACTTATTACATCGTTCTGTTACGTTTGCGGAGACTCGATCCGTTTTTGTCCAGATGATATTCCCCACCTTTGAACAGATGTCTCTTGAACCACCCATATGCATATTTTCCACTTACATTCTCCTTTGCTCTCTTTCATACAACATCCACTCCTTCTCTCCCACATCTGAACCTTGGAGCGAGTTACAAACATACAATACTTGCTGAAGCAATCAAACCGAAATCTTCATTTTTTTAAATATCTATTACCACACCACCCATATTGGAATTAGAATTTTTTATATAATTGAAATAAATCGATAATTTAATCGTTATATCTTTTAGAATATTACTTACGGATATTTCAGTAATTTGATAGATCAATATCGGTTTCGAACCGGTCATACTCATCTTTTCCACGTTCACATTACTTACATAAGCATTTGCACTGTGTTTTGCCGCTGCCACACCTCATCGTGTTAAGTTTCAAGCTTCCTTACACATGCATATGTTTTTTTACTTCCTTATTTTGCGGCTCGACCAAAAACTCGGAACTTCTTTTTTTTTAATATAACTGCTTGTTATATGCATTGACTACTTTCTAATTACATTTTCTTCCCACAAACCTGCGGAGTTCGCAGCATAACTGTGCTTAATTATTTGCTTCCATAGTATTAATTGGATCCTTTAAGCCTTTAAATTTTATTTCATAGAATCGCAAATATTAAAAAAAAAATAACTGGAGAAATTGAAAAAATCCTATTTCGTGGACAAATAAATAAGAATTATTCTACGCGTTAATCTAATCAATTTTTTTCCACTCATAATCTTATCCTTGAAATTATATAATTGATTTGTTTACACTTACCTCTTCTATTTATCGTTATACATAATTCCTATAAATCTAATTTTAAATTCTCTTAAATTTATAATTAAAGTCAATAAGGGTTAAAATATGTACCTTTTCATTTACCTATGACAAACATCAGTACCATTTAGATCCTTCCATTTTTTTAGATAGAAAATATTACGGCAGTCGTTGAAACAGTTGATGGAATAGCAAGAAGTCCATACAATCCTTTATCCAATATAACAGCGTTATTAACAGAAGACGGGGAATACTATTTCGGAGGACCCACGGACTTTTCCGGTTCCGATTTCGCTATTTACAGGAGTATTGGAGGACCTGCAATGAGGACGCAACAGTACAACAGCCTTTGGATAAACGAACCGCATTTTGTTGGGTCCTTTGAAACAGACAAATTCGTTTATTTCATATTTAGAGAGGCTGCAGTAGAATACATCAATTGTGGAAAGGTATTGTTTTAAACAAATTATAGTTTAATAGTTTTAGTATCATCATTTAAGTTATTTAGGCTAAACCTGATTTTGTGTTCTTACAAACATATAAAGTAAACATATTACTTAACTCTTCAATTTTGGAACAATATTATTTATTTTTTGGGTAATTAAATTATATATGCATGCAATTACATAATTAAGTTGTTTCTCGTTTTATCTTAAAAGTGCAATTTAAATTGTAAAACTATAAAATGCAAACAGATTTAATTCAATTATGGAGCAGATGGTTTGTAGTACAGTTTACTTATGAAGTTGATCTCTAGATTGTAGACAGATATGTTGGATATTACCATAAAACACAATGTAAAACCGGTTGTTAACCTTAACTCCTCGACTGAGTATAGAATGAAAATATTAGAGACGATAGTTCTTTCTAGCAAGTTTCAATAGAAATAACCTAGAGTTCAATTTAAAGAAAAGATATACAATAGTACGTTAATGCAATAAATATCGAAATAGTTATGCAATTATAATATTGGAGATCCTTGATTAATTTTCCAATAAGTTAAATTTAATAAACGCTGAATATAATTCTGATTTAACATAACTGTATCACTTTTTGTTGACGGAAATGTAGTAAGCATTATATAAGTTCAATGTAAAACCTATAAGGTTATAATTAAAGTACTAATGATTTCATTATTTAATAATAATATTTCAAAGGAAAGCCGTATTTTTATTGCAAAGAAAAGTATGAAATTGTGTTTTAATAAATAATGTCGTATAATTTAGTTAGTGGTATGGATTTGCTAAGAAATAATTTTTCAGATTGTATATTCGAGGATTGCCAGAGTTTGCAAGAATGATGCTGGTGGTCAAGTGATGCTCAAGGATAATTGGACGACTTTCATTAAAGCCCGACTGAATTGTTCGATAACCGGCGATTATCCTTTCTATTTTGACGAGATCCAGAGTACGGCTTACATTCCCGGAGAGAACATCCTGTACGCAACGTTCACGACGCCAGTGAACAGCATCGCGGGATCGGCTATTTGCGCCTTCAACTTGACGGCCATTAATAAAGCCTTCTCGGGACCATTCAAATACCAAGAACATGTTGGTAGTTCTTGGAACAAGCACTACTCCAAGAACCACGAACACTTCGAATGTAAAGCTCAGCCGCGTAACAAGAACATCATAGAGAGCTCGAAGTACCAGTTGATGGACTCGGCTGTTGAGGCTGTTACTCTCAGGCCTCTATACGATGCCCAGCTGGAGCGGTTCACGCATATAACCGTGGACGTCCTGGCGACGAAGCAGCACACCTCGATCCACGTGATCTACGTTGCAACGCAAGAAGGGCTCATTAAGAAGCTAACGGTGATGCCGCGCACACGGGCTACCTGTCTCGTGGAAGTTTGGAATCCTGTACCGGATGCTAGCGTGCCCATATTGGGTATGCAGTATCTTAAGGAGACAAATTCCGTGTACGTCGGCACACAAGATCGGCTTATGCGGATACCAGCTCACCATTGTGGTCGGCACGTCTCCAAACGGAGCTGCCAGAATGCAATGGATCCATACTGCGGATGGCATAAGCTCAAAGACGCGTGTACCGTCGCTCCATACTCTGATCCTTCGGAAGACTATTGGGAGCAATTGGCAATGACCTGCCCTCAGTTAGATGCCCCCGTCGATGGAGGTACACCGTTACCATACACATGAATATGACGCCCTTATTAATTGCTTTTCTTGTATGTTTATTCCGCAGGTTGGAGCAGCTGGTCTGAGTGGTTTCCGTGCGCCCATCGCGCGACCTCGGATCCAGATTCGAACGACAAGTGCCTCTGCCAGATCAGGCACTGCAACAACCCGTCGGCCCGGAACGGCGGAAAAAGTTGTATGGGTGATTCAGTGTCAGTGACTAATTGCACGGTGCATGGCGGTTGGACAGCGTGGTCTGCATGGTCGGAATGCTCCGCCACGTGCGGATTAGCTGTGAAAACGAGAACAAGGACCTGTACGAATCCCGCCCCCGTCCACAGGGGCCGGGTTTGTGTTGGACAAGACCATTCGGAGGTGCTGTGCACCGGGAATCCACCCTGTCCGGTGGCGACACCCACGCCACAAGATGGTGGCTGGAGCAACTGGGAACCGTGGTCGGGTTGCTCGTCGTGCGGGGGCGGCTTCCGTAAGCGCGCCAGGCGTTGCAATAATCCGCCGCCTCTATCCGGCGGCTTGGTCTGCGTCGGCACGAACGTCGAGTACGAAACCTGTTATACGCCCTGCGCCGAACAGAAGAAGGTCAACTTCTTCATCCAGAACTACACGAACGCAAATAACGAGTTCGTCCAGATCAAGTACAAGTACGTCTGCCGCGCCCCCGTCCAGAACTCTTCACTCATAAAGTTCACGCAGGAGAGGGTTTGCAAGAGCAGGCATTGCGACGAGGAAACAGCACGGTGGGGACCGTGGTCAGAATGGAACACCTGCAGCGTCACCTGCGGCATCGGCTTCCAGTTCAAGGAACGTATTTGCGAAGGTCGAGGCGAATGCGTGGGTCAGACCAGCCAAAAACGGCACTGCGAAATGCCACCCTGCAACTGTAAGGATAATACATTTATTTTAATTTCTATTATTTCATTTATTCCCTCTAGCACACTGACCTGTGAGTCATAAAACAAACTAGTTTATGTGATAACCATTTCAATTTAATTCAATCATAACTAATCTTTACATAATTATTATAATAATGAATTAGTAGTGCAGATTTCAAAGATTCTTAAAAATATTATATATTAAATTGATTTAATTTCGTCTTCTGGAAATATCACTTGAGATTCTAATGAATAATATACATTTTCAGCAATATTCGGATGGGAAGAATGGACGAATTGGTCGGATTGCGATGAGAACAGCAAGCAATACCGCACGAGAAGATGCAGGAATATCACAACGGATTCCACGACTTGTCAAGGGTCCAGCAAAGAAACCCGCATGTGTTCCGAAGAAGAAATGAACAATGGTAATTAAAGTCCAACAACAAAGTGTTAGTTACATAAACGAGCCTCTTCCGCTTTTCAGAAATTAACATCGGCTCCTTGAACACAGCCAGTTTGTCTGCACCAATTGTGGAATATGTGGTTTGCGTGATCTTGGGTATTTTGTTCGGCTTGTTAGTGTCGTTTCTCTGCTACCATTACTTCATCAAGAGAAGGAAACCTCAATTACCCAGCTCACCTCATTATATGACTGCAAAGTCAAACCAATACACATCCGTCCCCCTACGAGACAAACCCCCCAAGCGCCAGGGTGCATCATCGTCGAATATTTTGAATGTAACAGCGAACAACGGAACGATGAAATCGCTGAAATTCGACTACGACACAATCAAAAGAAACAGTAATAGTTTGAACAATGGTTTATTTGACGATAAGTTTTACGAATAAGACTGACACGGCATAAGTTTTTCAGCCAGTTTCTTTTTGTAACATATAAAGCCTCCTAAACGCCTACGTAATAAACATACAAAAAAACAACAAAGCCTTATCCCCCCCCACATCCTTATATAATAATATACTGTACCTGCTACACTATAAATTTTTATTAATTCCATTAATTTATATTTAAATATTAACAAAAATATTTATTTCTGACTCATATTGAGTTATATTTGCATTTTTTAAAATATATTTTAATATAATATCTTTTGTGAACTATATGTTTTTTTCCCCCTACATTTCTAATACTATGCCACTGTTGTGGTTCATATAATATCTAACATTGAAATTATTATAGTGACTAGAATTAAGACTGAAACAGAGTGAGGGATGTGCAAACATTTATATTTACTTTTTCTTGACTTTGGGTGTAGTTTGGAACACACTGGATGCAGACATCAAGTTCTCGATGTACTGACCCAGAACCATGTTCTCAGACTTCAATCTGAGGTTTTCCTCCTTCACATGGTCAAGTCTTTGTGATAGATCATCCAAGGTGTTCTGCAGCTCCAGAACTTGAGTTATGAATCTAGCTTTCTCTTCCAGCTCATCAATAGCACTGTCCAGCTCCAAGCCTTGGTCATGTCTTGGGCTTGCAGCACTGTCATTAGTAAATGATGACTGTATTGATTCCATGCTTTGACCATGATTCAAGCCAGACTCATTGGATTCTTCTGGGTCATCATCATATATAATCACTGTAAAATGATACTCTTAGAAACTAACTGGACATACTATAATGTTCTACCTTGAGGATCATCATCAGCTAATGGAATGTCGTCGTCAGTTTTATCTGCCATCATTCAAGTTCTGCTATAAATCTAATTCTATAATGCACTTTATCTTTCACTGGACTTTATGAATTGTCGGCAGTAACGATTTATTTAGTTGACAGCAGGGGGACCAGGTTATATGAAAAATTCTGTTCTATGACCACGATGGCGCCACAAGTACAAGCGTCAAATAATTAAAATTTTAAAAAATTGAATAATTAGCGTATAGTGAAGATACTTTGTTTGATATTCATTTAAACAATTTGTTGATAATCATCGCATGGTAAATACTATAAATTTAAATAATTTAAATTTGAAAGTTGTCTAATCTTTGCTTCCACAGCATTCCACACAGTAGAATTTGAATCATTGACTAGAATATAATTGTTAATTTCACCTCTTTTTTTTTTCAAAAATATAAGCTGTTTCAAACTGATTGAACATTGATACAAGTATCATCTCAGATTCATAAGTTGAGTCTACAAGACTACATAATTTGCACATCTGCTGAATTCTAATATTTTAATATAAAATGTTGATGGTTGAAGGAACAACAATAACTAGAAAGCTCAATTATCACTCATAGTAAAGTAATACAAAATGATTTCGTAGGTTATTCTGTATATACAAATATATACCTAATATTCATATAAAAACAAGAACACAGAAAATAATTATTTCCATTTTATACTAATTATATGTGAGGTACTTCCATTGTTTTTGTTTGTCAGATTACTCTAAGCTTTTTTCAATTTGTTATTTAACCATTGTACTGAAGCGCATTAAGTTGGTGGCCAGTTGATGGTAACGTTACTATGGTAACCAATACAATCAAAATAAGTTAGATAACATAATTAAAATAATAATGCAGACCTCCTTCCAACATGTTCATTAGTATGATTTAAGCTATAATAAAAGTGAAGGAAAAAAAACTGCATTTCTTTGTTAACAGACAAATGTTTTATTAATTTGTTAGTAATAGATTAGCTCATATTTCATTGTTAACAAAATATTTATAATTTTCAATCTTTAAGAGTGGTCTTATTCACAATCTGCCAACAAGGCTAGAAACATTAATATACAAATTATAATAGTGTGAATGTTTGGATCTGATCCAAGCATGTAAATCCAAAGAAGCTTTCATAGACATTGTAAGTAGTAATATTTCAAGTTTTTAACAAACTAAATTCGAGAATAAAAGAGACTAGATTTCAATCAAAGCATTCCTTCTTCAATGTGCTGTAACATATCCAATTTCAATGGGACCTAAGCAGTTCATCATCTATTTTTTCTTCACTTTGGGAGTTGATGAGAATACACTAGATGCAGACATAAGGTTTTCAATGTATTGTCCCAACACCTGATTTTCAGATCTTAATTTCAAATTCTCTTCCTTAACATTGTCTACCCTTTGAGAGAGATCATCTAAGGTGTTCTGTAGCTCTAGGACTTGAGAAATCAAACGAGCCTTCTCCTCTTGCTCATCTGGGTTACAATCTGGCTCCAGGCTATGATGCTGAGGACTGGAACTGCCATTTGTGAATGATGACTGTATAGAATCCATACTTTGTCCATGCATCATACTGGAATATGTTGAAGCAACTTCAACATCATCAGATATGATCACTGTAAAAAGAGTATGATATAGTTAACTGCGACGGATTATCGATTGCAAATTAGCTTACCTTGCGGATCATCGTCAGCTAATGGAATGTCATCTTGCAATTTACTTGCCATGTTAACAACTATTCGAAGTGGCCGATATTTAAAGGGCTGAAAATCAACTGAATGCAACTGAAACTATTCGCAAATACAGTAAAAGTCTGAAAAACTGAAACGCCCTGAATGAGCGATCATGTTTACAGTAGTACCAACAAACGGACGTAAACAACTTTCTAATAGTTGGTCACTGCAAAAAGGACTTTTGTAAACAAATTCAAAATAGTAACACTACTGATTTTAATATGTTAATTTTAATGAAATGCGTTTATATGATACTTTATATTGTTGATTAAATATTAAATATTTTTTTAGAAGATTACGCTGATGCCAATACCTGTTTTAAACTATGTTTATAATAATAATATAATCTTATTCTTTATATATAAATAACATGTTCTATGTTTCCTCAATAACATAATGCTTGTTATTATGTAATTGTTAATGGAATATTTCGGAGAATCGGTCACTTTTGGTCCCTCCTTAATGGCATGGCAACGTGTGCTTCGGTGCGTTCAGATGTAAATGGTTTTTCCAACAGTGAACTTTCGGAACGTTTCTGTGAGAAGAAGATGACCAACAATCCGAGAAGAAAGTTGATCTGTAAACAAAGGGCATGTAGAAACACGAAAACACGGGCTCATCTCAACGCTTATCTTATCTTTCCAGATTGCTCATTGATGTTCATAACATCATCAAGTGAATGCATTCCGCTATTTACATAATAATCAGGAAATCATTAATATTAATATCCATGTGCAACTGGGACCTTCTGTTTTGTTAACTATAATTGTGCTGCTAACGTATCACTCCCTGTGCCAGCGATGGAAGGTTTCGACGCAATATACTATGAAGATGAGGAGGAGATCTCTGAAGAAGTTGAGCCCACTGATGTTACCCTAGTGCCAGATCCAGTTGTTATACGTGGAGCAGGCAATATGACTGTGTAAGTTCAGGACATATTTTATGTGATTTAGATGTTCAATGTGGTTCTGCTTAGGTTTGGTCTTAGCAACAGATTTAGCCCTGAGTTCCCGAGTGGATTAGTTTCAAGGGTGGCGCCAGAGGAATTTAAGGAAACTGTGTTAAGAATTAATAGTGTGCTAAAGAAAACGCTACCAGTCAATGTGAAATGGCTATTTTGTGGATGCTTGTGCTGTTGCTGCACATTCGGTTGCTCACTCTGGCCTGTTATTTGTCTCAGCAAAAGGGTATGATATTTATTTCTTAATACACTTAATTATATTTATTAATCAACTTGCTCTTTTTTTAGACACAACATTCATTAAACAAATTATTAGAATGGGAAAACAGCTATTTATACCATAAGCTTGGACTGCACTGGAGACTATCTAAGCAACAGTGCGATTCATCTTCAATGATGGAATATGTCATACTAATAGAATTCTTACCAAAAATACCAATCTACAGACCAGATTAACAGTTCAATTTACACTTTTGGTTTTTTTGTACATATTCGCTATTTTTAGTTAGTAATGGCTTTTATGAAATTCTTATCTACACATCTTGATGTATATAAGGTAAATGTGATAACTAAAACTAATATATATATGAATCTATGTACATCTATATACATACGATATATCTATATATATTCTTCAGTTATGTGCTATAACTGGATTTTGTTGGCAACTATTTTCATTGAGTTAATTAAGTTTAGTTATATATAGGTAAAAAGTTATTCCATATATGTGCAATATATTTTGTAGTACAATTTATCAAATTCAGCTTGCATACAATATCAGAAGAAATTAATTAATTGTTTGTCCTCTGTAAATATTTGTTTGTTACGCGCAACCAAGATTTAATTGTTACCATATTTATTGAAACATATAGAGAAAAGTTAAAAAAAAACATATACATATATTAATTAACTTGTAATTTAAGTTTACTACAAAATATGTATCGTCTCTTATATTTTCTTTTTGCACTTCTTTTTTAATTTATTTTTACATTTATTATCGTATTATTTTCATTTTTTTTTTCAATTATCGTTAGTATTTGTAGGTGGGAGAGTTGTCGAAAATTTGGATTTCTTTTATTATTTCTAGGTGCAAATTCCATTTAATTAATTTAATTTTAGACCATTATAAAAAAATTAATTGTGTTAATCTGGATGATGAGAAAAAAAAATAATTAATTATAATAATAATTCAAGTAATAATAATAAATGTTCGATGGATGATCTCAGTGGAGTAATATTAATAAAACTTCCTTTAAATTTCAATGTGCGTACGTTTCTATTCCCGTGCTGTTATTTTGTTTGTTTTTCGAGTCTATTTATGGCCGTGACAATAAACAAGATTAACGTATATACGAAGTTTGTTAAAACAATTATACAAAAAAAAACTAATGTGCATGGAAAAATGTACTATCTTTCTTTACATAAATCATGTGATGATACTTGATAACATATAAGGATTAACTCATTGAATTTTTTTTTCCAGATACTTAGTGCAATTAGTCAGGTAATATTGATTACATATTGAAAACATCGTGTAGATGTTCACATGTTCTTAATTGGATTGATGACATATCGATGACGAATCGCTTCCAAAATAGATTTCTATGACTAATATTAATTGCTTTGTTTCAATATTAAGAACTTAAACAATCAATTTTAGTCACTTAGAGGAGATTTAACGTTTTAATTTATGCCGATTTAACGATTATTTTACACTTAAATATACATAGTTGTAAATACAGTGGAACCTCGCTTAACGAGTTTTATCCGTTCCAAAATTTCCGGATTTTTACTTGTATAGTGAAATACTCGTATAGTGAAACATTAAAAAATACACTAATATGTGTACACAAGCCGGGGCTTCTCTTCTCGTCGTCACTCGTTATGCGAAACATCGCTCGTTAAGCGAGTCATTTTGCTCGTTAAGAGAAATGTTCGTTAAGCGAGGTTCCACTGTACTTCACATTGATTCAAGTATTAATTCAATGTGATTATATAATTTCTTTTGTAATTATAAACAAGTTGAGTATACAATCTACTTTTGTTTTGATAATATAATTGCTTAGGTTTAATACTGAATAAACCCAGTTGACGTATTTTCATAAGATAGGTTAGGTTGATTTAGGTTAAAGCTCCAGTTACCAAATATACAGGACTTAATTTGTATTAAGAAGTAGTTTGAAAATAAGAAAAATTAGTCTATTAAAAAAATACAAATATTAGCTGGAGTTAATAAAAAAAATCGTAAGTTGAAAAATTAATTCCTACTAAATTAATAAAACTTTTGAATAGTTTGCATNTAAAAAAAAATCCAACACTTACCTTTATTGCATCTATTCGTAGTAGATTCAGTAAAATTAATTAAACTTTTATACAAATGTACAATTGAATTGAATGTACATTGATTGAACTATAAACAATTAATATCGAGGAAGGGTAAAAAAATATGAGGTCAATTCTAATTAAACTACTTTTTGTGGGTTCTATGCACTGCTGTGCCTAATGGATGAGACAGCTCTGAGGCTAGGGAAATGTAGAGTATAAGAATCAAGTGTATATTGTTTTGTTTTTAAACGAATGTATTTGTTAAGAGATTTATCAAAAATATTTTTGTTATTTGAGTATCCAATTGTTCATTGAAGGAAAAATATAAGAGCTAGATTAATAATTACAAAATGTACAGCCTTAATATATGTCCAGTATATCACAATTTGAATAAGCCCATTGCCTAAATCTATGATTAATAAATATTAAAATTAATTTATGGACAGATTAGTTTTAGGTATATTAGTGTGGTCAAATATTCGGCGGTACATTGTCCACAAAATTGGACGGGAATTGGCCAACCATGCCTTGCGATTCACCCATGAGCCAATCATCCGAAATCCTTTTAAGAATTTTAATTCGTTGACCCGGAATGAACTCTAAATCACCTTCGATCTGCGTACGGAATTCATAAAGAGCGGTCACATACTCATCCTCCAAAGGCACCTGTACGTCGACAAAGTTGGCCGGGAACATTCCCTCTCTATCGTCTACTCTACCATAGAGCCATTCATCATTTACCTTTCTCAATATGTAAACTATGTCGTTCGTCTGCAAATAGAAATGTGTTTAGACTGTGTGGTATGTATAGAATTTCAATGAGTACCTCAAAGGAGAGATCTTCGTTCTGTGTTGAAGTGTAGTTGAACAAGGCAATACCAAAAGGTGAGACAAATTCACTTATTTCCTTTGGTGGACTGGGTGGTGGAATGTTAGGCATTGGTGGTGATGAATTCAGTAAGGGAGAAACTCCCCTCGAGGAACTAGCTTCACTTGGTGATGAAGCCCTGCAACCTTTACTTCCTTGTGCTCTAATAATCGTTGGAATAACCTTAACTTGCGGCTGAGTCTGCTTCCCTTGCAAATTGTATGCAGGGAATGGAAATGGTGTATTGTTATTCCATGTATTTTGGTTAACTGGTTCATCGTAGCTTTTTTTACTTGAAGCTAGACTACTTGTGCTACTGCTGAAAGAACTGGATACACTCCCAGCAAAGGCATGGCTTTTATTCTTTGGTGAACTCGGTGGGCTCCATTCAATTAAAGATATTGTGTTATCTGTGTCCAGGGTCCAAGCAGATCTACTCTTCACTTTAGCCAAATCAGGTGGCGGAGGCCTTGGTGGAGCCTTCTTCTTTTCCTTTGTATTTTTACTGCAATATTGGACATGTTATTGACATCACTGTAATTGCTTTTGAAGTGTCACTTACATTTTGCTGTTGTTGTTTAAATTCTTCTGCCGAGCCTCCTCAATGCTTGGGGCTGGTCTAGAAGGAAACTTTATGGTACTCATTTACACCCAGTATTATTTACAGTGGTCTATTTAAAATAGCGTTATCACAGATTTTATGGCGCATATGAATTGTTGTTTCCACGAATCACACAATTACATCACGACCGACTAGTAGTATCATTGTGGAGAGAACTGATCGGAGTTTGCGTGCGCTAGAGAGAAACGAGTACAGGAAACTTGTTTATTATTTCAACCTTCATAAATTGCACATAGGTGACTCGGAGAAGGCACGGAGAGGCAGCAAACACGAAGCAAACAAACCAACAAAAATAATAACGTATATGTATATGCGAGAGGTACACTTACACACTCGCATAACTTAGGTATAATGAACTTGAGTTTTTTTTTTATATTCGCTTCCCTCTTCTCTTCTTCGTTTCCTGTACGCGTTTCTCTCCACGAAATTCACGCTCCGCGCCACGAATTTATATTATTATGATAGCACGAGCATACCGATAAACTAACGTGAGTTCCGAAGGGGACTCCAATGATAAATACGTTAAATAAATCTACATGTGTCTTTGGCACGTGTAGAAGACTCTCTACCTTCGCGGACTTTAACCTACTGCAACTTAGGGAGAAAGTTGGGGTGGCCAGGGGTAACAAACACCTGCGTTCACCGGAAAAAGAATAGTTTCGTAACGTTCTTTTTCACATTATGTTTAAATCCAAGGTTTTCCCTCCCATTTATTCCTAGTTTGTTTCCTGCATTCATTGATAAAGCGTTTTTAAAATTTCGTATACTCTGACCCAATATCTAAGAGACAAGTTTCCGTTTGCTCCACACATTATATCTATCATTATTATTTTTTTTTAAATAAGATAACTATTTATTCATTTACATTTTTGCTTTTGGAATATTTATGGAAAATAAAATTATTATTGATAACGAAATCATTCCGCAGCGGAAGATGAATTAGGTGTCACAACTGGTATAGTTTCACACAATTATTGTGTACTATTATTTTTATAAGAGGATTTCAATCAAACATGTGTTATTTTTTTTTATTATTGTCGCACACTGATGATTAATTATCGCTGCTGACGAGAGTCCTGTTATTGCGCTGGCTTCGAGTTGATTGAATGATTTCTTTAAAATAACGCTCACAAAAATACCAGTAGTTTTGTATTTGTTTTGGTGTTAGTAAGTCGAGTAGGTATGTAGTTTCGAATTCCTTAACGTTATCGCTCGAATGACATAGTCTCAAGTGTTTCATTATCTAATATCGTTTTGCAGTAGTGCTCGGCCAGCTGTACACGATGGATGATATCCTGCAGTCGGTGTTAGACTTGTTGAAGGAGGAGAAGATCGTTGGACCGGATGTGGCTGAGAGCAGAGTCTTGGATTTCAAGCA